TATTTTGAAAGAGAGAGAGAGAATGAGCCGGGGAGGAGTAGAGAGAGAGGGAGAGAGAGAATCCCAAGTAGGCTCTGAGCTGCAAGCACAGAGACTGATGCGGGGCTCGATCTCACAAACTGTGAGATCATGACCTGAGCCAAAATCAGGTCACCCACTCAAGTGACTGAGCCACCCAGGCGCCCCTACCTTAGTTCTTTACTGTGAGCTCCTTCCTATTTCAATGAGACGATAATAGTAGATACAATTTATAGATATCCTGTTTTGAGAGAGAGAGAGCAGAGAAGAGGGGCGAAGGGAGAGAGAGAGAGAATCCCAAGCAGGCTCCACACTCGGCACAGAGCCCAACACAGGGCTCAATCCCATGACCCTGGGATCATGACCTGAGATGAAATCAAGAGTCAGATGCTCAACTGACGGAGCCACCTAGCCCCCCCCCCCCATAAATATCTTTAATTGGTAAAATAAAATGTTAGCAGCCCTATGTTGGTCCCTCTAACTTTGTTTTGTTCCTTTAGAAAGGTATTAGCTGTAAAATCCCAGTGTCTGAAGACCACTGACCTACTACCCTTTGGAAGCAGGGCGAGCACTAGGGTGAGGTGTGCAAGGCACTTGCCTAGAACACAGTGCAAGGGGCACCAAAAAGCTCGGTCATCAAGACAACTGATATTTTTAAAAATCAAATTTAATGCCAAAAATACCTATGACAACCAAAAATGCACAGCTTTAAATAAAGACAGGACCAGTATTAGTGATTTTTCCTTTTACCTTGGGTTCCAACATGGCTCAGCAAGGCATTCCTTTTTTTTTTTTTTTTTTTTTTTTTTTTTTTTTTTTTTTGTTCAATTTTTTTTGAGAGACAGAGTGTGTGCGCGCACAAGTTGTGGAGGGGCAGGGGGAGGGAGAGAATCTTAAGCAGGCTCAACACCCAGGCAAAGCCCAACGCGGGGCTCTATCTCACCTCACCTCACCTCACCTCACCACCATGAGATCATGACCTTGAGATCATGACCTGACCCGAAATCAAGAGTCGGTCGTTTAACCAATTGAGCCATCCAGGCACCCCTGGAAGCATTCCTTCTAAATCACCCGTGACAGCGTGAATCACCGCGACAGCTTATGGTGTTCTCAGTGGACATAGTCCTTTGGAGGCTCCAGGGCAGTTATATAAATGCTCCCCGTGCTTGTCTCCATACTCATTCCTCTCCCTCTGTAGCCAGCTCTTCATGTTTATTTTTCTTTTCTGAATTTTTAGGAAAACAAGCAAGTGGAGCCCAAGACAGATGCCAAGAATGGAGAGGAAAGGGGCAGAGATGCCAGCAAAAAAACCCTGGGCCCCAGACAGGACTCAGACCTGGGGAAGGAGCCAAAGAGGGGTGGTTTAAAGAAAAGCTTCTCAAGAGACAAAGATGAAGCCGATGGCAAAAGTGGAGAGAAGCCCAAGGAGGAGAAGCTTATCAGGGGTATTGACAAGGGTCGGGTCAGGGCTGCGGTGGACAGAAAGGAGGCAGGGAAGGAGGGGAGGGGAGAGGAGAGGGCAGCAGCCCCAAGGAGGGAAGAAGAGAAGAAAGGCAGTGACAGGAGCACGGGGCCAAGCAGAGACAAAGACAAGAAGAAAGAGGAGAAGGAGATGAGTAAGAGAGAGGATGACGGGAAGGGAAAAGGGGAGAGGAGGACCGTGGATGCCAGGAAGGAGGATGAGAAGGTGAAAAGAGGAAGCGGGAACACGGATGCAAAAAGGGAGAATGAAAAAGTGAAAAAAGAGGAGTCCGTAAATAAAAAGGAGCCCAAAGAAGAGAACAAGACCCAAGCCCTGGAGAAACAGGCCCCCGCTAGCCCCACCAAGCCCTCGGAAGGGCCTGCCAAGGCGGAGGAGGAAGCGGCCCCCAGCATATTTGATGAGCCTCTGGAGAGAGTGAAGAACAATGACCCAGAGATGACCGAGGTGAACGTCAACAACTCAGACTGTATCACGAATGAGATCTTAGTCCGGTTCACCGAGGCTCTGGAGTTCAACACTGTGGTCAAGGTGTTTGCCCTGGCCAACACGCGCGCCGATGACCACGTGGCCTTCGCCATCGCCATCATGCTCAAGGCCAACAAGACCATCACCAGTCTGAACCTGGACTCTAACCACATCACGGGCAAAGGCATCCTGGCCATCTTCCGGGCCCTCCTCCAGAACAACACGCTGACCGAGCTCCGCTTCCACAACCAGAGGCACATCTGCGGCGGCAAGACGGAGATGGAGATCGCCAAGCTGCTCAAGGAGAACACCACCCTGCTCAAGCTGGGCTACCATTTCGAGCTGGCTGGGCCCCGCATGACGGTCACCAACCTGCTCAGCCGCAACATGGACAAACAGCGACAAAAGCGGCTCCAGGAGCAACGGCAGGCGCAGGAGGCCAGCGGGGAGAAGAAGGATCTGCTGGAGGTGCCCAAGTCAGGGGCGCTGGCCAAGGGCTCCCCCAAACCCTCCCCCCAGCCATCTCCAAAGGCCTCGCCCAAGAACTCGCCCAAGAAAGGGGGCGCTCCAGCCGCTCCACCTCCGCCTCCACCTCCCTTGGCCCCACCCCTCATCATGGAGAACCTGAAGAACTCCTTGTCACCAGCTACCCAGAGGAAGATGGGAGACAAAGTCCTCCCCGCCCAGGAGAAGAACTCCCGCGACCAGCTACTGGCTGCTATTCGCTCCAGCAACCTCAAGCAGCTCAAGAAGTTAAGTAGTTGTGGGCAGGGGCCAGCAGGGCTGGAGGAGAGGGGGCCAGCAGGGCTGGAGGAGGGGGGGGGCAGCAGGGTTGGAGGAGAGGGGGCAGGGGATGGGGCAGCAGGGTTGGAGGAGAGAGGGAAGCCAGCAGGGCTGGAGGAGAGGGGGCGGATGGGGGGGCAGCGGGGCTGGAGGAGAGGGTGAACCAGCAAGGGGGGGCTGTGGGAGGAGCCATGTGTACAGACTGCTTGTCCGTAGGGCGCTTCTGGCCACGCCATCCATCCCCCTGCCTCTGGGCAGGCCACACCTGATCCCCACAGGGGGAGAGGACTCTCTCCTTCCTCTAAGGAGCTTCCTTGAGCCTCTCACTCCGTGCCTCAACTTCTCCACACTGCAGCTAAACCAGTTTCTCCCAGAAATAGAGAAAGAGCCTCTACATCGTAGTTCCATCTCTGGCCCGACCATGTCTTCTCTCCCCCATTCCTAAAGCAAAAACCACCTCCCTTTTACTAATTCCCTCTCAGGACCAGCCTAGTCCTACAGATCTGTTTATCCCAAAGGTCTTTGGGAGATTCAGCCCTCAGGGGGATCTCCTGGTGACTAATCAGTGCCACAGACACATGAGCCATCCCTAGAGACCCCTCTTCTCAAACTTCTGCCTCCCCCCCATCTTTGGTGACAGAGTCCATGGTCACCTGCCCGTCTCACTGGATGGTGGTGGCAGCTAACCCTACCCCCACACCATCATTTGGGGCTAGGCACCATGACATAAAAGACAAGCTCAGGCGTAATTCTCGTGGTCATTTGATGACATCCAGTTTTTAAAGAGAAGGAAAAATGCTTCCTCTGTGTCAACACCTCATTTACTCATTTCACAAACATACATTGAGGTGTATGAACGGGAGGCGCATTGAATTGCAGAGAGCCCTTTGCTGGACTCCTTTCTCTAAACTGTCTCTGCTTTGCCCTAACAGGTGGAGGTGCCCAAACTGCTTCAGTAGGACCAGACTGCCGGGGGGCACTGTCTGCCAATGCCATGACTGCCCAGGCCTTGCCTCCCAGGCCCGCACAGACCCCGCCCACCCCGCCCTGGCTGACCTGCTGTGGATGTCCCCACTCTGCTGTGGGAGAGCAAGAGGCCTGGCCACGTTCAAGGAAGGATGCCTGATCTCTTCTCACTTTCCTTTTCTTGTCTCTGAGGCTCTCCAAAAATTTCTTTTATACCTGGAACTGAGGTTTCTGGACAAGAAGAGTCCTTTTAGTGTGTCATTGAGAAGATGGCATGCCTGGGGCCCAAGTAGCTGTCAAGTTGCAAAAGGCCTGTGATTCAGGAAAGATGTCCCACCAGGACCACTAACCAGCCCAGCCCCACTGCCCTCCAGGGCCAGGATTCAGGCCTCTGAGGAGCCCTTGGGGCAAAGCTGCTGGGCCCATGGCCCTCTGTGTGGGGCAATGGCAGAAGATTGAGAGGGCATGAGGGCCCAAGGGGAGAAGAAGGAGGGGCTAAGGACACCCTGAAACCCCTCCTGGGCTAATCAGAGGACATGGCAGGGACAGCTGGCCTGGGTGGAAAGTGCCTGGTGGGGAGTGGGCTCCAGCTGGGAGGAGAGGGACAGACGGCAGCTGGTCCTGAAGGTTTGATGCCAAAGCAGATGTTTCCCTCACACCCACCTGCTGTTGTATAAATAGCTGTGTATCTGTTTTTCCATAAGATTTTGATAATATATACAAGCCTTTAGTTGTGAATGACTGTGCCCCACCTCTGTACCGTACTGAGGGTGCTGATGCTCACTCTGGCCCCATGGAGGACTCTAGACACTCCGGTTCCCTGCCATGCCATCTTGGGTGGACCACATAACAAGTTCATTCTGCAGAAAGTCCAGTGCAAGGGGAAAACCTCGGCCCTGAGTAGAGGGCTCCCCACTGACCTGGTGGACCAGGCCAAGGAAACTAGACCTTAGCCAGGGTCCGCTCCTGACCATTCTTGCTGCCTGGAGTCATTAGCCAGAGCCGCTTTTGGGGGTGATGGGGCAGAGTGGAGCACAGGGCCCTGCGATGGCTATATTAGGCATGTTCAGGGGATGCTCATCCCATGACTCTTCCTAACTGTGGGCTTGGGGCCAGCTCCCCACAGCAGTCACAAGCCCAGGAAGGCAGCCATCCCTGAGCAGAGAAGTGAATGACCATTTGGGGAGCAGCACCCCTACCAGTGTGCCCAGTCACCACCCCCCTGCTCTAGCTGCAGGCTCTCTCCTGACCTAATGGTGCCCCCATGCCCTCCATCAGGTGTGCATCAAAAGCATCCTTCTGATTTGAGTGGCTTAACTGTACCAGCATCCCTTGGCACCGTGGGACTGCCACCTTGGGTCTAGGTCACTGGTAGTTTTTGTCTCCAGGTTTTGCCTCAAGAGCAGGGAGCACAGCAGTTTCACCATCTTCGGGGGGGAAGGAAGGGGTGTCCCTGCTAGGAAGGAGGATTGCCGTGCTAGGTCTGACCAAAAACAGAGGCAGGCTAGTCCTGGGAGCAAAAAGCTTGGATCCCAGGTTTCTCTGTGGCCCTTTCCCTCCACCCACTCGCCTGTCTGCCCCAACAACCAAAACAAGGGCTGGGCCCAGGAGAGGGGAGACAGAACCCTGCTTGACGCCTCCTGGCCCACAAAGGGTGTTACCTGGAGCTAAGTGCAGCCAGGGCTTCCATTTACCCTGTGTCTGTGGTTGCTAGGCTTTAGCAAGATACTTCAGGTGCTCTTTCAATTCTGTGAGGTGGATGCCAATATTATCTCCATTTTGCAGATAAGTTCAGCCCAGAGAGGTTAACTTACGGGTCCATGATCACACAGCTAATAAAAACAGAGCTCAGGTCGAGTTCCCGCTCCTAGAGCTACATCTGATAACAGGTCCCCCTCATCCCCTTACTGAAATGAGACTGGTCGTGGTGCCTCAGGAAAGCACTGAAAGCCTAACCAAACCGGAACGAAGGATCTCCAAGTCTTAAGGTTCCAACAGAAACTGTCATCTCAGGAAGCCCTTTCTACCAAGCAAGATTTAGCCAGACTAAGCGCGCGCGCGCGCACACACACACACACACACACACACACACACACACACTTTCTGTCCACACTCAACAAGGGATTAGCGCCGCTCTCTGCCCTCTTGCTCTCTTCCGGAGGGGTGGGTAGAGCCGAGGCTGGTGAGGTCATTCGTCCTCTGATGCCTTAGAACCTAATGCGGGAGCGCAGCGCCACCTGCCGGCAGGCCGCGTCCCGGTTCTCCCTCGGCGCCAGGGGCGCGCCGGAGCTGCGCTGGAGGGCAGGGAAGGTGGGTAGACTGGACGCAGCGCCAGGTCAGTGGCCTGGGTTGCGCCTTCCGGCCGCCTGGGAGGGACGGGGGGAGCGCCTGGCAGCGAGCGGCCATGTGTGCTCATGGATGGGCTGAATGTGAGAAACCGGCCTCTCTGGGGGCCGCGTTTCTGCCGAGTGGCGCACCCATCGCCGCCCACTTGCCCCATTCGCCTCCGCTGGCGCCCGTCTGCTAGGATTTCCCTTCATGAAACCCAGGATGCAAGAGCCGGACAGGATCTATCCTCGTCCCTCGCCCGCCTTTCACAGGGAAGATAATGAGAGTCAAAGGCAGCAAATGACTTGAACAAGGTGACGCAGCCGTATTCAAACCCACGTCTCTCGTCGCCGGGTTCGTCCTACCCACCTGAGCCGAGGGGCTTCCCTCCGCCATTTCCTCCGCGCCGCCTCACCCTACCGGCCCCATCGGTTCCCGGAGCCACATCCCGTGTCTCCCGCCAGGCAACGGAGGGCGTCTTCGCATCGGGCTCTCAGCCCCCTGGGCCCGCCCACACCCACTGTCGCACCTTCTTCCCACCTTCCGGCCCCGCCCCCGCAGGCCTCGGACCCGGGCCCTGGCGCCGGCCGCTGGCGGTGGGCGGGATGGCGGGGGCTGGGGCCGCTGAGATACCCCACTCTCTGTCGCAGGAGCTCCACAGGCGTGTGAGCGAGGGGCTCCAGTCCCAGGCGCTGTGAGTTGGGCGCATGGCCACTCATGCAGCCTTCTTGAAGAAGCATTAGATTTGGACACGGGTCACCCACCTAGTGGGGCTTCTGGATCACCATGCTCGCCAAGCCTGGAGTGTCATGTGTTGCCTACCCCACCGCGCCCACCTGCAGCTCCCCACTCCTCCACGGACTGGCCTCAAGCCTGAGGCCCAGCTAGGGCTTGCGCCATCTGTGGTGAGGGGGGCAGGCTGCTGGCCTGGAGTCCAGGCCTGGTGAGTGCCCCCCCCCCACGCCCCCACACACATCCAGCCCCCGTCCTCGTCCCCGCCCTGTGCATCCTCCTCTTCCTTTATCACACCTACCCTTCCTCACTCCTTGCCTGAGGTGTCCGTTTTCCAGCTGCCCCCATTCTATACCTCTCCCCCCCAGCAGTGCTCCCCTTTCTTGCTAACCTTTCCTTCCTCAGGCCCCCATTGTATTCTCATTCCCCTCTGCCCTAGCTCTCTCCCTGCATCTGAACCGCTGCCTTCCCCCTTTGAGCGCAGCCACCCCTCTCCCCTGCCTGAACAGGTGGCCAAGAGGTGCCCTTGCTTGTGTGTAGAGCACTCCTCCATCTGTGCCTCCCAGACCTCCCCCCTTAGGGTCCTCAGTGTGCCCTCACAGCCCTGCAGGACCCCATTTACACCGTTGGAGACCCCAATCATGGAGGGTCACTGCTCCTCCTGCCCTGTATCTTGCTCCCCTTGTAGGGTGCCTGCCTGGTTTCCAGGGGTGCTGGCTGCTGAACAAGGTGATAGGAGGGACAGCTACAGCTCTGTGCTCCTGCTGGCCCCATGTCCCTGGGAATGAGCAGATGAGATGGGGTCATACATGTAGAGCTTGGGGAGAGATTCCAGAGGGTTCCCTATTTACAGAACTAGAGAATGTGAGAGGGGCCTCCTCTCTGCTCGGGGCATGTGAAAGCCCCATTCTACCATAGTTTCCCCCTTTTCCTTAGAATTCTCAGTGCTTTGCAGTTAATTGACTGGAAATGTTGGGGAGGGGAGATTCTACCCTTCTGGGAGGCAGCTATGACTGGGATAAAACTGCCTTCCATCCCAGACGACAAAGCAAGTTTTAATTGGCCCCAGATTGTGGACTTAAGGATAATTAATTCTGACTGGCATGGCTGTGCATTCATTTACACCTCTTTTCTTAGGGAAACTCAGAAACCTTGTCCTGCCAATCTCCTCCACCTCTCAGCTTCAGGAGGAAGGGGGGTGGGGAGGGGGAGAGAGGGAGAGAGGGAAAGGAGATTGGGTTCTAAACCTTGATGACCCTCTCTCCTAAAGTGTGAATGAAGGCAGAATTTGCAGACTGGAAGCCAGGATACTCTGTAACCCCAGCTCCCACCTTTTTTCCCCATCCTCAGAGAGAAGGCAGATTTGCAGCTGTAGCCCCAGCTCTGTCCCCACCAGCATTAGCTTTCTCTTTCTGTCTCAGTCAGTTCCTGGGGCAGACTCTTGGACCCCCTGAAGATTTCACCAGGAAGGGAGGAGACTGTAAATCCACGGACAGACCTCTCTCCATAGTTGTTTCTGATGCTGACCCAGGAGCTCCCCACCTCCAGCCTGGGTGACAAGAGCCTTCCTGAGGGCACCAGAGGGCATGGTTAGCACAATGGCCATATGCAGGACCTAGCTGGAAGACAAGGCTGCAGGGCTGGAGGACCTTGGAGGGTGAGGGAAGGAGGCGTTGAGCATATGGGTGTTGGGGAAAGGAGACGCTTGGTTGGTGGTGCTGTTGCCAAGCTGAGCTGGCACTTTTCCCACTTGAATTAAAAACTATAAAATTTCCTTTCCTGGATCTGTCACCAGACAAGTCCTGCGATCACAACGACCGGGTCCTCAGGGAACAAGGCAAGGGATAGGGTCTAGCTAGATGCACACGCATCTCCAAGGGTGGGGGCAGCTGCCTGGCTCAGTGGGGGACGTGATGTCTTAGGGTCCCCTGATGATCCAAGGCAGCTGACAGAAGCACCTTGCACCAGCCTCTTGGGTGGCCCAGCCTCTCCACTTGGCTTCTAGTGCTAGAACCTCTCTGATGAGGAAGGACAGAGGTCACAGTTTCATGTACATATTTTACCCTCATGACAGCCCTGAGGCATTATCCCCATCGTATCACTGAGAAAACTGGGACTTGGAGACCTTCAGAGACACACCCAAGGTCAGCCAGTGGCAGGACCCACGTGTGAAGCTAAGTGTGCTGGAAAAGGGGGAGCTGCCTTTGTACAATCTGCAGTGCCCTATGTCACAGGCTCCTGACCCCTAGTGGGGAATCTCTGTAATGCAAATGGGCACCCTCTTGCCCGTTGTGGCAAGATCCATCTCACTGGCTTGGGAACCAGCTCAAGGAGCCCTTAGCCTGGGGTGGTTCTGCTTGTGCAAGGGGGGTAAGGGTGGTGCTGGGCTCCAGCCCTGGCACCTGCCCTTCCTGCTCGAAGGATGTGGTACCGGCAGCACTCAGGGCCCAGCTGAAGGCAGAGCTCCTAGAAGGTGTGCAGGGACCCAATGAGGCAACCGACATGAGTTACAGCTTTACAGCTTTAATCCAGCATGTTGGAGTCCGGGCCAGTGGGGCAGCCAGGGGCAGGGCTTCTGCCCACTGCTGATGGAGCCCACTCCCCACCCTGCCCCAGCCCACAGTGAGCAAACAGGACGGGTCCCAGCCTTCCTGGCTGGGATCTTGAGAGTACAAGGACTCTGAGAAAGCAGGGGCTTTGACCCAGGCTTTCATGTCCTTCTCTTGCCCCAGGTAAAAAGAGTCCCCTGATTCTAAGCCCTCCCCACCCACCCCTCGTTCATGGCCAAGTTCCAGCTCAGCTCCTGGTCTACTTCCCTGGGGCTCCATCACCAGTAGGACCCAGGGTTTGGCTTTTTCTGGGGCCTGGTGAATAGAGGACCCCTGCCCGCCCCCAGGGCCAGATGCAGATACAGGAGAGGGGCATCACTGAAGGGGCAGCAGAGACACAGCTGGTTCCTCAGGCTCCTGGGTAGGAGGGCTGTGGTGGCATATAGGGGGGAGGAGCTGAAAGCCAAGGAGACAGGGTGAGGGTCAGGGGTGGCACAGGAGGATGTGAAGTGACCCCCAATCCCAGAGGCATGAAGGATCCATGCAGAAGAGGTAGCCTGGATGTTTCCAGCTGAGGTAGAAGTCTGGAAGAGGGACTCAGGGGGAGACAGGGGCAGGGGAGGTCCCAGCACAGGGACAGGGGGCAGGCAGGAGCAAGTGGCTCCAGACTGCTCACTTACCTGCAGGGTTGTAGATAGGGGGCCCAGCCGGGTAGAGTGGATACTGGGGAGGACCGCTAGGAGGGTACATGTAGCCAGGCTGTGGGGGTGCAGGGCCAGCTTTGGGGTCCTGGGGGTATGGGTACACTGGCTGCACTGGGATGCCTGTCATTGGAATCTCCTGGCCTAGGTGGGGGACAAGGATCAGCATTCAGAGCTCCACCTGCATGGGAGGAAGCCTCCTTCTCCTGCCCAAGAAACCGAGGTAGGCACCACTGGGCCCCTGCTCTCTGTGCTGGCAGGTTCCGGGCTGGGCTGGCTACCTGCTGCCTTTGCCTCCCAGACCTTGCTTGGCAGAGTTGAACAGGGAGCCATGCACGTGGTCCCAGCGGGTCAGTGTGTGTTTAGCAGGTCTGCACCCCTCGGCAGGTTCAGAGGCCTCACAAGCCAGAGAACACAGCCTGGGGAATGTCCCACTTAGGCAAGGAGGGGGGCAGCTCCCGGGGCTGGTATCTTGTAATCTAGCAGAGCTGCCACCAAAGGGGGGAGGGGTCCCTCCCCCAGCCCCTCCCCCCCACACTGATTCCCCCATGCAGGGTCACGCGTCCCGTGTCCATCGGGTTTGGGCGGATCCGCAGTCATGTGCCGGCACTCAGGCACACATTCCATTGTACACTGGAGCACACCCAGTTAGTGCTCACCACCATAGACCCCACCTCCTGCGCTTTCCGAGAGTCATGTGCATGCAGGTGCCCACTGCACACACACCACTGCCGGCAGACGGCATGCCGTGCACATCTCAACATTCACACGCATGCAGGTACGTGTACACGCAGTCCGATGTTCGCATACACGGCCCAGGAATGTTATTTCCGGGGTTACATGCTGGCCGGTATGTGTCTGCAGAAGCACACCCTACTGTGCAATTCACACATCCTTGAACTCTCCGGGGCCCGTCGTGGGGTTCAGCTCAGCTTGGCCTATCCCAGGTTCGTCGCGCCCAACCCTGCACATACCTTCAAATGGGCTCTGCAGATGCTGGCGCCGGCGGTACAGGTAGCAGCAGGAACAGAGGAAGCAGCAGATGGTGGTGGCAACCACAGCCACAAAGAGGATCACAGCGGAGGCGATGCCTGCTATGGTCTTGGGACTTTAGACAAAGAACAGGTCCCCTCACCTTCCAACACTCATAGGAGGGAGTCCTCATTATGGTGCCATAAAACTGTGCTCCAACTCCTGGCCAGCAGGGGGCCACAGCAAGCTGAGATTTGGGGTTCCTTGAGGGGCTCTGCCCAGTCCCTGTGGAGGAGATCTTAGGGGACCTCCATTTCCCAGAAGGCCATGCTGCCTGGCTGGCTAGTGTGAGGCATGCCGGGAGTTGTAGTGTGCACCCCACTTCCTCACTCCTGCATCTACAACTCAATTGGTTAGGCTTGGAACATGTTAGCATTGAAAGGCACCTTAGAAATAATCTAGAGCCCTTTTTTTTTTAACGCCCCCCCCCATCACAGTCTCCTTACGCCTTTTGTATATTAGCAGTCCCCTTCAAAAAGAAGTTTGAAAACCACTAATTTTGGCAACCCCCTCATTTTATGAAGAGGAAATAATGACCCATGAGAGGATGAGTCTTCCCCAAGAGCACACGCCTGAGAACTGGACCTGGGAATCAAACCCAAGACTCCTGCCTTCTTGCTAGGGCTTCTTCCACAAAGCCGCACCCCGGTCTGGGTTTTGACCCTGCACACACTCTCCACCAAGCCCGAGAGGGTTGCTAATGCGCCTTTCCTGGACCTCCCAGGCCCCAGCACTAACATCCAGCTTTGTCCCCAAGCCGAGTCCTGGGCTTGGGCTGAGGCTGTGGAGGTGGACATGGAGAGGGACAGGAGGCGGTCGGGGGGGAGCAGGGGAGGCCCAGGCGGGCCTCCTGAGAGGAGGATGGAGGGGACGCGAGCCCACCTGAAGGCCAGGCAGTGCTTCTGCTGCCTCTCGGTGATGAGCAAGGTCAGGTCTCTGCAGCAGTACCGATGGTAGCAGGTCCCGCAGCAGAAGGTGAACTCGCAGTTAAAGCCTGGATGCCAGGAGCCATTCCGGTCCAGGTACCACAGGCAGTCCTCGCCGGCCAGCGCTGCGGGCAGGTCGGGGGTAGGGGGGACATGGCCACCAGGCCAGCTTTCCGTCCGCCCTTACCCCGCTCCCCGAGGCTCCCAGCCCGCCGGCTCCCGGGACGCGGGGGCTGCCCCTGGTCGCCACCCTGAGGCGCTCCGCCCCTGAGCCCCGGCGGCCTCTCGACGGAGCTGACCCCGCGCTCCGGGTCAGCGGCCCGTGGCCCAGCCTCCCGGCCGTGTCTCCTCCCGCTCCCTGAGCACCGGCAGCACCCAGGGAGCCCCGCGCCCACCCCGCCGCGCACCCCCTTACCCAGGGGCGCCCCCAGCACCAGGAGGGCGGCCGCGGCCAGCGGCGCGGCCCCGCAGAGCCCCGGGGGCCGCATGGCGGGGGTTGGGCGCGGCCGGGCCCGGCCGCCGGCAGCAGGGAGCGCAGGACGAAGCCGGCCGGCGGGAGCTGCTGCGGGGCCCAACCCGCCGCCAGGCTCGGTTTCCTCTCCCGCCTCCTGCGAGGGCGGGACTAAGGCCCGGGCCGCGGTAACCCTGCCCCCCCCACCGCCCCCCCCACGCTCCGCGCCCGGCCCAGGGGGCCACCCACCGGCGACGCCCACCCGGCCCGGGCACAGGAGCGGGGCGCCCCTCACCCAGCCCGGTACTGCCCTGCGCCCCGCCCCCGGCTCCAAGGTGGCTCCTCCCGCCAGAGCCACCGTGGCCACAGCGGGCCGCTGGACACTGCGGCCAGGGAGGCCTCTCCGTGCCCTGGGCCCGCCCCTCGCCTGGGCCCAATCAGTATCCCGGACCCCAGAAGCCCCGATCCTGGTGCCATCTCCGAGTACCCAGGCACATGGGCCAACCCTAGAGGGGCAGGACCTCCTCTGCCCAGTGTCCAGCCCAGGACGTCCTGCGGGGAAGGGGGGGCGGGAGAAGAGGGAAAAGAGGCTGAGAGCACCCCGCCCCCATTCCCAGAACACAGGCACCCATTGAGAGGCAGCTCAGAGCCGCTTTGTCCCTGCGGTGCCCACAGACCTGGACTCTGCCAGCTGCACTGGCTCCCTGAGACGGACCCTTCCCCCTCTGAGTGGACAGCGCTGGCATGCGCCAGCCCATGGCCTCATCAGTCGGGATGACAGGCCGCTGGGGCCACCTGGAGCCCATCCAGCTAGACACCCTTCACAGTGAATCCTGCACAAACACTGCATTGGCTAGGAGAGCATAGGGAGAACAAGAGTTAATTACCGTGGGGACAGTGTTTTGGGGGGAGGGGAGCCAATCAATCCCCTTACAAATTTATATTGAGTGTCAGTGACTGTGCCCCCTGCTACCTGGGTTACACTGACCAGGAACTGCCTATCACTTCAGGGGGAAAATCAAAAGCCTACCTCAACCCCTGGCCATGGGACAGTTCTTTACAAAGCACTTTGACAGTTAACCTCATTTGAGGCTCTCCACAGTTTCTGCGAGCTCGACAAAGTTGACAGGTGTTATCATCGATCCCATTTTACAGATTGAGAAACTAGGACTCATGGGAGTTGAAGGACTTGCCTGCCGGTATAAGGCTGAGGCAACGTCAGAACCCAAGTCTTCTAAATCCAGGTGGATCCTCCTCTCCAATAGCAGAGGGTGTTCGGAGGTGAGAGAGAGAATGGATGGCCCAGCAGAATCTAAACAAGTTAGGGGAGGGCTGCCAGAAGCGGAGCTGCTCTGCCCCGGGCCCCTGTGGGTACTGGCACACCCAACCCAAGAGGTGGAGTAAGGAGACCATGGGCTCCTGCCCCAGCAAATTGCTGGTAGCCTGCAGGGGTGGGGTGTGGGAGGGGAGTAAGCGAATATATGCACCCATGCAGGACACAGTCATAAACCCAGGGGCAGAGGGACAAAAGGAGATGTCTCTCATTTCGCCACCCCCTAGACAGTGTCTCCATTCCCATCCATGTCTTCTTTCCTAGTGCACGAGCTCCAGGAGTGCTGGACCACGTGACCATCGTGTTCACTGCTGTCACCCAGTCCGGGCCCTAGGTGATCATTGTTGGTTGACTGACTCTCAGAGGAAGGGTTGTCTCTCTTCCTGTCCAAGGGTAACCCTTCCATGTGTACTC